CGGATGGAGAGATTATTTTGAGTGTTGGAATGGTAGAAAAATGTCAGTAGACTGCACGTATCGAAAAAAAAAACAAACCAATTGTGAATTCAATGAATCACCTGATGAGATTCTCATTTCATTGCAGATACCAGAAACGTTTAACCCGAGGTATCGAGCCTCGCCCAGAGGAAATAATTAAGCAGTCACCAAAAAACAAACCGAAGAAGAGTAATGATATCAAGAAGATTGTAATAAAGAGGATCGAACATCTGCCAAGAAGAATTCCAAAACCAGCACAAGTCCCTGAATTAATTGAAGTGACGTTGAAGCCCCATGAATGTGAATTATGCCCAGCGAGTTTTGACAGACGCAGTAAACTATTGAGTCACATGTACAGACACAGTGACTCACGTCCCCACAAGTGCACAGTGTGCAATAAATCATTCAAGACGCGAAAGTACCTCGTGAGACACATGGATATTCACCAGGAGCCCGAGGAGTTCTACAAGTGCGAGGAGTGTGGATTTCAAGCTAAATCCAAGCCCTACCTCAAGATTCATTTCATCAGAAAGCACACATCGTGCTGGAGTTTCACATGCAAAATATGTGGCAAAATGTTCAAGATCCAGGGTGACTACACAACCCACATGAAGGATCACGACGTTGACACCTGCATCTGCGATATCTGTGGTAAATCCTATGCCAGCGCTAGCTCACTCTACTTCCACAAACACTACAAACACAAAACCCGAGACAAGGAGTTTGAGTGTAACGTATGCAAGAAGCATTTCAAAAGCCAGAGAAATCTCGACAGTCACACAGAACTCCACAGGATGGTATTTGTGTGCGAACACTGTGGAATGAGATTCAATGGAAAGTATGGGCTGACAAAACACCTCAAGATCCATACCAATGACAAAATGTATATCTGCACTATCTGCGACAAGAGCTTCAGCTGTCTGAGCTCCCAGAAAATCCATCTGCTGACACACGTGGGTGAGAGACCCTACGTCTGTGACGTGTGCGGTAAGAGTTTTACCCAGAGATCACCGATGATGTACCACAGGAAGAAACATCCTGGAGTTCATCCACCTCTGCCACCAATTAAAATATCTGGACTACTCGGAGATATGAGGGGAGTAATTCGGGAGAGAGATGACTAGTGTCGAATATATTGGACCTAAATATGCCAGTTAATTTATTCAATTGATGATTAATCAATTGATCTTTTTGTATTTTGTTGTGATTAGTGGGATTTCAGATTAAATGAAGACTGTGATAAGTCAATCCTGAGCTTGGGCCTCTGATTATCGTGAGATTTTCTTCTGAGTTTTCTCCAGACTTTTTGTGATCCTGTATGTTTTCACATAATAATGTTATTCTTTTCTATTGAATAAATCAAGATAATTGATTGCCTTCTACTCTCTATTAATTCGTCATTTCTCCTGCTTGATTCCCATAATTTTTTTTCTCGTCATCTATCAGTGCATGACAATCTGGAAATATGTGATTCGTCCTTAGAAAATTGTCATCTGGTCCTGGATTGTGTCTCTGAATAATAACGTCGACGATTTAACATCTATTTTACTTTCTTTCTTTTTAGGGAACACACGGGGATTATCTCAGAAGAATCTAAAGAAAATATTGAACCAGTGAAATCATCGGCATCAAGTGATATTAATATCGAAGAGTTGATTAAAAGAGAGAAGATGAATCCGGTGGTGGTGCTCAGTGATCTTTTCAGATCTTCGAATGACAATGAAAGCCTCAGAACTCTGGATGAATTGCCATTATCCAAGCGAAAAGTGTTGGGTGAATATTCAAAAAATTCGAAAATCAAATTCGAGATCATCAAGATATCCCCGAAACCCTCGATAACTCTATCGAACCTGATCAGATCAGAAGCAGAGGAAATTATGGAGTTATCAGACGAGGACTGGCCACCTGTAATGCTATCAAATCCCAAAAGAGCAAAGAAAATACACCAAATAATTTCAAAATCTTCCATAAAAGAACTCCCTTCCATGGATGAGTCTCTGAAGACCTCTCCAGAGTCTACAAAGTCCCCGAGACGAGACTTGAAACGATTGTCTTCTTCAGTCAACAAAAGAAGTTCCGCATGCTCCCCCAAAAAACGAAATTTAAAGCAAAAGAAGACGACAATCAACGAAATAATCCACGAAGACTACGAGAACCTGATGCCAAGGGGTTTGGAAGGAAAATCTCTGTCATCCGAGGACGAATGGGCCCCAGGTACCTCTCAAAAATCTCTGAAACCGTTAAAACATCCGACAAAGCCAAAAGCAAAGAGAAAACGCCTGAAAGCCTTCGAGTGCGACGATTGCAAGCTAATATTCTCTTCGAAGCACACCCTGAGAAATCACATCGATCGTAAACACCTGAACAACATCCTGACTTATTACTGCCTCTACTGCGACTTCAAAACGACCCACAGGAATTCTCTCACTCAGCACCAGGTGAGAAAGCACGGGAGTGACTCCTACGAGTGCGACTACTGCAGAAAAAATTTCTACTCAAAACAGGACTTGAGAATTCACATCGATCATCACACGAGTGGTCCACAGACATGCCAAGTATGCGGTACAATATCCAAAAACAAAGCTGCACTCAAGAGTCACATCCACAAAAAACACACCCTAAAACTCTTAAAGTGCGACGTAAAAGGCTGCAACAAATCCTACGTCTCACAGGTTCGACTGAGTAATCACAGAATAAAACACGCCGACACATTTGAGTGTAATTTTTTGTGCAACGAGTGCAATAAAAAATTCGCCACCAATCAGATGTTGAATTATCATCTGGAGGCGGTGGATCATCTCAGGAGACAGAAGTGTAATTTGTGCCCGAGAAGTTACACATACAGAAGATCTTTGATAATTCATTGGAGAAGAGCTCATCCTGGTGCTACTGAGGAACCACCAAGAGTCTCAAGAATCATAAAATAATATTTGAAAAAGCAATGAAATCTAGGATAACGGTTATCAGCGTTGAGAGTTTGTTGAAGATGTTTATATTTTTCGAATAATTTCTCTGTTAAAATCGTTAAATCGTTTAGTACTTCACACAATACGTCGTTGCGAGCTTTCAATTATTCAAGAACGAGAAATACCAGATGTGGAAATTGTTGTGAATTCCACGTGTTCTTCTCTTCATGTTTTGAGAATTTATTTTACAGCTTTGTCAATTTTTATAGTCAATTCGTAGTAATTAGGGCGTTTAATGTTGAATTCAATGTTTTGTAATACATTTATAAGAAACTTTTCATGATAATATTAATAGTTTGTACATCAGAATTTGTACTGAGAAGTCGATGAAACAGAAATAACTGTGTGCTGGTTGAACCAATGATAATTATACTTGGGACATAATTGGAGTGAACTTTGAATGGTAGAAGAGAACAGAAATAAATACAGTTTCGCCATGAATAAGTCTATTTCCAGTCCCTCTCCAATTAATGGAACTCAATAACACCTCGAGAATATTCAGGAGATGGGAGTGAAGTGTTTGTGTAATTCAAAATACAGTAGGTAATTAATCCTGATAATTCTCCGGAGTACTTTCCCTGAATTACAAAAATTGCTCAAAGTAATAAAATAAATTACTCAATTAAACCATTAAACATCGCTCAACTCTAAACTAATGAATTCACATTATTTCTGTTCTAGACGAGCCCCAGGAGGCCACTTCTGCCAGGAATGCCACATTGAATTCCCCCTGGAGAAGATGATGAGGCGACACGAGAGATTTCACACACAAATTAATCACCACAAAAGACATTTGGATTCTCTGAAGACAAATAAACGAAGAAAAATGCGCAATAATAAATCCACAAGAGAATTACCTCAACCTCGAGACAGAAGATCAAAAAAATCTTCACCAGAAGTCCCTGAGGTGATCAACGAGGAGATCTTAGAAGAGGACATCCTGGAGGAGCTGGAGGAGTCACTCCCCGAGGACTCCTCAAAAAAATCCAGCATGGAAATCTACACAATTACTCTTCGCCCCAAAAAATCCACCCCCTCACCCCTCCAGTGCGACATGTGCAATTACTCATGCTCCAAACGAAATACACTTTACGCCCACAAGCGAAAGCACAACGTCATCCAACCAGAGATATTTTTCTGCAGCAACTGTCCCTTCAAGACGAAGAAAAAAGCATCCCTGTACTCTCACCTCTGGAAAAAGCACAAGGAAACGGAAAAAACCCCAAACACGGAGCTCTTCTCCTGCAGCCAGTGCGACTACAAAAATAAAAACAAATACGAATTGAAAGTGCACATAACGCGCAAGCACACGGACGACTACCAATTCACATGCGAAACGTGTGGAAAAAAATTCAAAGTCAAAGGCGACCTGACGAATCACGTGAGATTCAATCACCGGGAGCAACCAGTCATCTGCGACGTATGCGGTAAAACCTGTTTAAACAGCAATTCCCTTTATGTACACCAAAAATTTGCGCATTACAAGGCCAAATACGAGTGTCCAATTTGCAAAAGGCGAATGGTTACCCAGGTGAATCTCGACGAGCACATGCTGCGACAGCACGAGAAGAGGGAGAACGTCGTCTGCGAGGAGTGCGGAAAGTCATTCTCACGTAATAGCAGATTAAAAGTTCACATGAGAATTCACACTGGAGACAGGCCATACAGCTGTCATGTTTGCACTAAAGCATTTGCAAGGAGAACAGCACTTAAGCAACACCTGTTGATTCATACTGGTGTTAGACCATACGTATGTGATATCTGTGGAAAGGCATTCACCCAGAAGCCGGGGCTTATCAGCCACCGTAAATCACATCCTGGAACACATCCACCACTTCCCCGTGTACTCATTGATCACATACTGAACGATATTTTGAATAATTGAGATGTAACTGATGCAATAAAATTGCTGTCACTCATTATGATCAATTTATTTCAATCATTATCAAATGTGCAGGTGGAGAGAGACAAGAATTAACGACAGATAATCATGAGCATATTTCTGTGTTTTAGGAGACGAAGAGATATAAATCGGTCTAAAGATAAACCGCTGAAGAAGAGAAAGTCGTCAGTGAAGACTCCCCGGATCATATTAAAATTGAAAAACGGAGGAAGACCGAGGATTCCGATAAATTCACTGAATTCTCAATTAAAAAGATCGCCGCAGGCTGTTCGGGACTTCCTGGACTTGATTTCCTGTGAATTCTGTGGATTCAAGTGCAATGACAAGCCGACGATGTCAACGCACCTCTCGGATAATCACACAGACGATGATTTCTTGATGAAGAGCCCAGGAACGCGTATAGAGGGTACCAAAAAATTCAGCTGCAACATGTGTGGCATGATATGCGCCAAGAGGGAGACCCTGAATGCCCACTACATCCGAAGACACACGGAAAAGTACGAGTACAGTTGTGACAAGTGTATTAAAAAATTCAAGATCAAGGGTGACCTGACGACACACCTGAAGAGAAGCCACAGCGATGATCCGGTGGTGTGTGACGTATGTGGTAAATCCTGCCGAGACAAACACTCCCTTTACCTCCACCAGAAATACTCCCACTACAAGGGAAAATACACGTGTGAAAAATGCGGCAAGTGCTTGACAACTGAGGAAAATCTTGCTCATCATCTCAAGTATCAGCACGAGAAGAAGGAGCGAAAGATGTGCGAGGAGTGTGGAAAAACATTTGCATCGGTCTTTGATCTGAGAAAACATATGAGAATTCACACTGGTGAGAGGCCCTACAGATGCAGCATCTGCAGCAGAACCTTCAGCAGACAGTGCGGTCTCAATCAACACCTTCTCCTGCACACTGGTGAAAAGCTCTACATCTGCGACGTGTGTGGACGATCATTTGCCCAAAAATCAGGACTCATTGGCCACAGGAAAAAGCACAAAGGAGACCTACCACCCCTACCCCACGTTCAAATCGATCACATCGTCAAGTCATTGAAGAAGAGCTGAACTTATTTTGTGATAATTATAAAAACATTATCAGTAATATCAATAAATTACTTTTGAATTTGTTAAACTTTCTTTCTCCCTGATGATGATAAAACATCCTCAATCCTCTAATCGAATATTTAACTCCACAGATGCATCATTTTGACTTTTTCTTTTTCTGAAATAATGAATAAACTGATAGACTATTTCCTGTTTTGCAGATCAACACAGAAATTACGAGATGATGAGGATCACGGTCTCTTCATCTTCGATCGAGCCTCAGTTGTGATGAGAAAGTGGCAGATTCTGGAGTTCGATGGAAAGCCTTATTACGCATTTGTCCCTGAGAATGAGGAGCCACTGGACCCAGAGGAGATCAGAAATCTCGAGGATCCTGAGGAGTCCCACAACGAGTCAAAACCAAAGTTAGAAGTTATTGAATCAGAAGGAGAAACTCTGCAGAACGACGAGAGTTTCTACGACTACCAATTGTCATCGCCAGAGGGTGAAGAGCCTGAGGAACTCACCGACGACGTGAAACCCATTCTTCTAAACGGAATAACAGACTCAGAGAAAGCAGAGAAAGGGGATTTGTATCAAGTGAAGATCGAGGGGAGTGTGATAACCCTGGAGAAACTGGCAGAGAACGTAGAGGAATTAAAAACATCAGAATCCATTCTCCCCGAGATCGAGGGCAATCAGACAGCTGACGAGGACACCGAGAAGCTCGAGGACGACGAGGAACAGCCCCAGGAGGTACCAAATTACGCAAAACAAGAACTGGAGGCAATTGAATTCGTGGGAGTTGACGCTGAGGACGAGGACGAGGAGCAAGTGGACGACGTGGAGCCCGTGACCAAAGAAACATCTCCCACTATCGAGAGCAAAAGAAAAACAAAATACAGCCCAGTTATACCCACGACAACAGCAACTCTAAAGTGCAAAGTATGTGGTGAAACATTTGGATCAGCAATAGCCTTTCGAAAGCACGTAGCATGGACCCACAAGAAAAAAGTGTGCATCCAAGAGGATGGTGCCTACATCTGTGCAGTATGTGATTACAGAACCCTGAAGAAGACCCTTTTCGCAGCCCATCTCGAGAGAAAACACGAGACTTGGCCGAGAAAGGGACAGGGTAGTCTTGTATTTCCATGCGCTGTCTGTGGTTTTGTATGCAGATCAAAGCACTCACTCCAGTCTCATTTCATAAGAAAACACACCGACAAATACGAGCACCAGTGCAAGTTTTGCCCCAAAAAATTTAAGGTCAAGGGTGATCTGACGAATCACGTGAGATTTCATCACAAGGAGAGCCCCATAAAGTGCGATGTGTGTGGCAAATTGTGTCAAAACACTGGATCACTGTACGTACACCAGAAATGGGCGCATTACAAGCCAAAGTACGAATGTCCAATCTGCAAGAGGAGAATGGTAACTCAGGAGAATTTGGATCAGCACATGGTGACACAGCACGAGAAGAGAGAGAAAATAGTTTGCGCTGAGTGTGGTAAGACATTCACGAAGAAGGATTCATTTAAAAGGCACATGGCAGTTCACACTGGGAGTAAACCACACGCCTGTCCAATTTGTTCTAAACCATTTGCCAGACAGTCACAGCTGAGACAGCACGTGCTAATTCACACGGGTAAAAGGCCTTTCGTCTGTGACATATGTGGAAAAGCATTCACCCAAAAGCCTGGCCTCATTTGCCACAGAAAAACACATCCTGGGCCGCATCCACCACTTCCTGTTATGCCTATTGCCGATTTGGTCAATGAATTCACTGCTGGGTACCTCCAAGAGACTGTGAATATCGGTAACGACGAGGATGAAGGGGAGTTCGAGAGCGAGGAGTCTGACGAGGAGGTCGACCAAATCGAGGAGATCAGCGAGTAATTAGCTATCGTCGGGAGTTCAGCATTTTTTTTTTTTCTTCATCAGGACCAGATTTCTCAGTAGTTGTAGATATTCGATAGTTGGATTTTGTTTAATAGAAGTAGATTTACTGATTTGAGTTAACGCAAGTTGTATTTTTGCTAAGGTTTAAGGATATTTAGGGTGTTCTGGTACTTTGTGTACAGTTTGAAAAGTTGGAAATAAATATTTTTCATGCTCAAGGTGGTTTTATTTGTCGAGGAGTTTTACCTCGTTGGAGAATTTATAACGAGGAAGATTGCGCGGAAAAACTTCTGGTGCTCATGATATCGTGGATAAAGGTAGATGCCCCGGGGGGCTGAGCGTTTCCTTGGGCTTCTCCATCGTTATATTATTTCCCAAGTTTTCCCTTCGAAACAATAGCGGGAGAAACAATTATGAAGTTCTAATGAAACATTAATTGGTGCTTGATTCTTTGGGGAAGTTATATGGCGAGGATCTAATGGGGTTTTAATTAATGGCACTTTCCTAAAAATTTCCAAATGCTTTTTCTAATGTTTTTAATGAACCACATGAAGCATTCTGATAATTCTATTGAAAATCCTTTTTACCACGAATTCCTGATGGAATAGAAAAAAATTGCATTCCAGCCCACCGACGAGTTACATCAAAGTGAAGAATCTGAAGGACCTCCAGGAGAGAAAACAACAGCCATCGATAGGTACTCTTCTGCTAATGGACGGTTACAAGGTAAAACTGACGTGCAAAGTCTGCGCTGATTCCTACTTCGGTGCCTCAACAGATCCACTAGCACGTGAATTCGCCCAAAAACACCAGGACCCACATCCCTACAAATGCCTGATCTGCACACGCAAATACCTCACCAAAAATGCCCAAATAAAACACCTCTCGAGCCACCACCCGAGCGACTGTTTCTTCTGCGATATTTGCCCTTACGCAGTTCGCCGCAAGATCTACCTGTTAAACCACATCAAAAAGAAACACCCACACCTGATAGACAAGGACAAAGAGAACACAACAGGTAAATACGAGGGTCTGAGGAGCCAGTTAAATCGTCAAATCGAGGTGCACAAGCTACCACTTCCTGGCCAGGAGGTCAGTAGTCTCATGAGCCTAAGAAACCGCGATGTTGTTGTGCATGACGAGACGACAGAAATTTTTAAGTGTGACTACTGCACATATCGGGCCAGGGAGAAAAAGAGATTGACCTATCACGTGAATAGGTATCACAAAGGTATTGGGGTGAAATATTCCTGCGAGGAGGTGATACTGATATCTGACAACCTGGAAGAGCGTATCAAAAGCCGAAGGCCACCACCAAAGATGTACAAGTGCGATCAGTGTGACAGGAGCCTTCGAGGGGCTTCCAATCTCAAGAGGCATTTATTAACACACAGTGGTGTTAAGTCACAGCAGTGCACTATTTGCCAGAAGCATTTCTCGACGAGGAGTTCGTTGAGACAGCACTTGCTGACCCACACGGGAAAGAGACACTACTGCTGTGATATCTGTGGAAAGACTTTTGTACAGAAACCAGCACTCACTGCACATCGCAGACAGCATCCTGGAAAGCTTCCACCCATGCCCAAAGTCTACATTGATTCTTTTATCGAGAAAATTGCACCTAGTGTTATCAGTCGCTCTTCTAAGTCCTCTGTAGGTGTTGATGTTAAAGGCAAAGGCTCAACTTCGAGATGAATGACGATTAGTCGGTGGTTTAGTTTTGTCAATGACATTTGTGAGGTTCGAGGGTGTCCAAATGGAAGATATCGATATTGAATTAATACCTGATTATTTTTTTTTATCTAAAAATCGAAAGAGCCTCATTGCCTTAATGACTTAATCGTGAGTTGAGTTGATTTTCTCTTTTTAATTTCATTTTTTGTTCTTCCACTTGGCTATCCTTGATTAGTTAGAGATAAATAGTTCATACTGAATAGTTTATAAATGTATTTGTTCAAAGGCATCAGCCAAAGCGTTTTTGTAAATCGAGAGAATTGAATAAAGTTGGAATTTTTGTACTTCAATGTTTAATTAAACCCCATCTCAGTCACGATGAATTACCCAGATTTAATTCTCAGAAAATTTCAGATTCCACAGAAATCGCACGAAAAAATCGAGAACCGGCCACAAGTGTTTCCACTGCAGCGCGAGCTTTCCCCACGTAATGAAGCTAGTGGAGCACCTGAAGAACATCCACAACGTCACAAATGCCTTCAGCTGTGACGAGTGTGGAAAAACCTTCAGAAGCCCCATGAACATCACAAGACACAAGATGATTCACACTGGTATCAAAAAATACAAGTGCGATCTGTGCGATTACAGCTGCCACCAGAAGACGAATCTAGAGTTCCACAAGAAGAGGCACATGAGGGATTTTCCATTCAAGTGCAAATTATGTGATAAAGCATTCCTATTCAAGTGTGAACTCCTGGCGCACGAGAATGTTCACAAGAATATCAAGGCTTTTCGATGTCAAATCTGCGGTGCTGCCTACACCCACAGGAAAAATCTTCTCGTTCACGAGAGGAGGAACCACGCGAGAAGAAACGATAAGAAAAATAGAGAATTTTCATCGAGGAAATCTTCTAAAGTCCTTTGTGCTACATGCGGAATGAAACTGTCAAGCAGAAGTGCTCTTAAGGCACATGAAACTATTCATACTGGGGAGAAAAACGAAATCTGTGATGTGTGTAAGAAAGGATTTGCTACTAAGTCAGGACTTGTTGTTCACAGGAGAATTCACACCGGGGAAAAACCGTACAGGTGCAATCAATGTGGCAAGGATTTTGCTCAGAAGACTTCCCTCGTCATTCACCTGAGGTATCACAATAATGACAGACCCTATTCTTGTGGGAGATGTGGCAAAGGTTTCGTATCGGGTACTCGTCTCAGTAATCATGTTAGCAAGGTTCATGGAGGAGATACGGCTCCGGTGGGAGGAATTATTCATTGAGTTATTATGTCGGGGTATTTCCATACCCTCTAATTAATTTAAACCGACTCTATCGAACCTATTTGACGATAATTTGAAGTGGCATCTGTGTAGATGGATAATTAATTCTGTGTTTCAGGAAATATTTCAGTGGTTGCGTTACTATAAACTATATTTTTCCCCAGACTAATGGCTTCGTGCATTATTCGGGATTAATTACGTGTGTTACGCAACGAATTAATTATTTCCAGGGATAACAACCACCCGAGCTGTTATGTAATGATCTGATGGCGCTAATGAATATTGGAGATTTATTGTGAATGTTTGATGATTCTGTCAATAATAAAATATCGAGTTTCCAGGATGTTGGACTTTGAAATTTACCCCCTGCTCCCTCAATCCCCGATTGAATTTGTAACAAATATCGCTCAATATTTCTCGATTATCGAGACTAACGCGTCTCGGACGAATATGAATAGTTTTGAATCGAGTTATCCTTTCCCTCTGGAGTTTCAGTATTTCGCCGAGGGTTTCCAGATTCCTGATTATTCCATCATAACGCAAAGTCGTCAGGAACTTGCATCGTTGTAACATTGATACTAATAAATCGTCCAGTTCCTCGCGGTTATTACGGAGTTGAAGGATAACTTCGACTGTAAATAAAAAAATCCTACCTTAGAGCTGGAATGTTGCTGGATGGCTGGTCATCGAACTCAGGAGCTTCTCCACGCAACACAAACAAATCACTTTCACTATCACTTCACCACTATCGTTTATAAAATCCCCGAAATCACTTAATATAATCGACGAACAAAAAAGCCGCCGCGAGTGCCCGCCAAAAATCTACTACGCACTCCCTCCCCCACCAGCTCCCCCATCGTCTCTCTCACAAGCGCCATCACCTCCCCCACCACTTCCGCCAATTACTTAACTAACAATATTTAATAAAACCACAAAAACAATTATTATTGCCCGGAAAATTAATTAACCCCTTTTATTTCACATTTATTGATATTACCGACTAAAATGCGTAGAAATGACTCGACATAATCGACATAATTGATTAACAAAAAAGCCGCCAAAAGTGCCCGCCAAAAATCTACTACGCACAACCTCCCCCACTAACTCCGCTAGCAGCTCCCTCATCACCTCCCCCCATTATTCAAGTACTATTTAATAAAACGATAAAAAAAAACAACTCTTGCCCGGAAAATTGATCAACCCCCTCTATTCCCCCTTTATCGATATTACCGATTAAATACGGAGAAATGACTCGACATAATTGACTAACAAAAACGCCGCCAAAAATGCATTCCCCCCACCCTCCCCCACCATCTCCCCCACGATTTCCCCCACGATCTCCCCCATCATCTCCTCGAATTAATTAATTAATATTCAATAAAACCATTACAAAGAACAATAATTGCTCCAAAAATGAATTAACCCCCTCCATTTCACTCTAAGCAAGCAATTTGAATAGTCGAATAAAATTGTCTCACTCACTCACTCACTCCTTTGTCCACAATTTCGTTCGACACTCGAAAATTAATAAAACCGAACTGATAGAGACAAGCCAGCGACATTTCCGCAATTAATAATATCACTCGAACGTTAATATCACGATAAATCAATAGATTACATTGTTAAAAGCAATATACACTGTCTTTGTTAGTTTAATCCACCGGACGAGTCTATTCCACGAAACAGTGCGGCCGCCATATTGTATCGATTCCTGTTCAAACGTGTCGCAGTAGATCCAAGATGGCGGGCGCCGGCCGGTGAGGTTCGTACGTGTTGCTTCAATAATCGCGTTTCAAGTCCAAATAAATTCGGAAAAATTACTCTAATTCGTGATTAATTCATTACTAACGTATTATTAATTAAGAGAAAGTACTTTAAACGATTTAAACAACGGAAAATACGCATATTAACGACGAAAAATAGTTCATTGCCATGAGCAGACAAAGGATTTGTTGTGACAAAGCAAGTCAATTGTCGAGTCGCTCATCACCCCAATACCTCGAAATAAATATCAGTGATTACGGAGTGACTTTTTTTATTGTGAGTTCACGTTTCGGGGAGGAATTTAGAATATTTTTAGAATATCGCTGGCCGGTTAGTCGGAAATTTATTCGGTGTTGTGTTTTCGTAGTCAGTGTTTACGCGGTTGTGTTTATAACGTTCGGAATGACTCAGAACATACACTTTCCCGTGTTGTTGAGGGACATTTTTGATGTCGAATAAATCGTGAATTATCATTGCCTCGATTCTTGTAACCATATTGAAATAATAACGGTTGAAAACTCCCGAGTTCGATGACCACGAGCTCAAAAGAAACTCCAAAATACTGTGGAACATCAGAAAGCCATCAGAGTAACATTGACGAAAGTTGGAAGTTTCCCCCGAGTTCGAACCCCGTGAAACTTAAATCGAAATCCCTTCCGTTACCTAAAGTACTCGAGTAATACGTGACGAGGAGTCCAACAGTACTTCTGAAGTTCCTCGATCTACTCTGGTCCCACACATGTCCACAGTACATCTGAAATCTGGCCATCGGTACACTTGGTTGGAGAAGATAAGACATGTCCTCGAAGTGTGAAATATTGACTGAATGGTGGTGAATTACGAAATTAATTGGGGGACTTTGAGGGTGGACTCTGGAGTGAATGGACAGACCATTCAGTGATACTCAATACCTATATTGTAAGAGACAGCTAATTGGGGACACGCAGAGACTAGAGCCTGCCAGGCTGAATTCTCGATCGTGTGCTGTCGTTGGTCTGTATTTCTGATTGAAATGTGAAGTGTCCTGAGGGATGTGGTAGTGTTCGCCAGAGTGAGGAGACATTGGCTGGAGATCGATGGATAATCGAGTTGGAGATTGCTGAGGGCATGGAGACGACTGAGGTGCCTGAGATATCTGGAGGAATGAACGAGTGAGAAAGGTAGGATTTTCTAGATTTTTTTAAAAGGGTTTACTTTGAGCTGTTGTGGGGGATCTGCCAGTCCCTGAAGGCCCCTCGAAGGTCCAGGGACTTGAGTCCCTCTCCTGAGGACTGGGTAATTGCTCTCAGGAGTTTCGATACATCGGTTACACCCAAATTTGAATTACCGAGACTCAGAGTTTCTAAAGTACTCTGACTTCTGCAATTTTTTTAAAGAAAAATAATTTCTTTTGTACCAATTAAATCACGGGGGAGGGAAAATGGAAATTTATTACCCCAAAAAATGACTCAGGGCGTACAAAATTCTCCCTCGATAATTCCAGTTAGTCCCGAAGTACCAGTTCGTTAGGATAAATTCTGTCAATTGAACATCCTTTGATTTCAATGCTGTCAGGAAATCCACACCCTCTTGCGCCTTTACATTGGCGGAATTTCGAGTTTCTTTCGATAGAACATAGGGCCTGGACCACGCGAGTTCCAGACTCCTCATGTGCTCCCCATATTTTCGCTTTAAAAAATGGCAAAAGTCGATTTCTTCACTCGTACAATTTCCAACATAGAAAGATGAAGAGGAATTAAATTGTATTACAGTCAGTACAGTAGCTAGTCGAAATCCACTCGCCAGATCTCTGTCAATCAGTATTGTAACTGATCTCCAAAGGGTTGGAGCTGCCACACCTCTCCTCCACACCTGACAAACTCCACTGGCATTGAATCGATCCTCACAGTTCAGATTACGAAAAATTCTTATCAGTATCAGCTCCGGCAGCTGATTCCACATCTCCTTTCACTCGTTTTACTCCTCATCCTCCCATTCCCTCAATCAATCGTAAAGTACGGATGACACAAAGAGATAAGACAATTAATACATAACATATGACATTTATTCATTTTTTTGTTTCAATCATTTTTTGTTTTTTTTTTTCTTTATAGGGTTTCTTTGATTTATCCTACGTGGTATGTGCAGGATTAAATTGAGATCTATGTTTCGTTAGGGTTTTAATTATACAGTAGTCAGTTGGGCTTTAAATTCTTTCTAAATCATTAAAACTAAAAATACTGAGAAAGTCTCGCTCACTGGATTGACAGAATGAATTTTGCACATTTTCGTTTTCGTAATTTTTATCATTTTCATCAACTTAATTATTATTTTGTTACGTTTCATCATTAGATTTCTCTCGTCTTTACGAATGCTGCTGGGTGCACGTGTACCTTAAAACAGTGTTTATTTCATCTTAAAACAATTATTAATTATATGCAACACTGAATATTCTCTCCTGGACACATTAAACCGTGAGAACTCAATATATTTACATAACGTTTATTAATCCTAATCGCGAATACTCAGAGGGGTGGGACAGGGGAGGGGGAGATTTTAATCCACGTGATAAAATGGGAAAATCCGATGGAGATTACATAATTTGTTGTTCCATTTGAGTTCGTTCGGTTAATTATAAATTAAATAACTTGACGAATTGATTTTCTGATTAATGGGGGCATCACTGATGCCAGATTGAATCGTTGCAGTATCAGAGGGATTAAAAATTTAAGTAGTGAAAACATACAAAAGGAAATATATCAGTTTGGTCGAATTGCTGGTGGTAGTGGAAGTTTTCAACGAAAATAAACTTATGTTATCGTTTTATTCGACTTTTTGTCCACTCTGCTGTGCTCCACTTGGTCGCTAGTTGACTCTGTGGGACTTGTGGTGCTGTTAGTGGTTTGTGACACTGTCGCCTGAGAGTTAGTGCCCTGAGTCGTAGCTACATTCTGAAACAATGAGAATTCATTTATTTATCTGGAGGAATTGGTGTTTTTGGTGGATTTTTGGGTTATTCGGGAATTATTTTATCAGAGTTGCATTGGGTTTTCAAAAACTCGCTGAATTTTTTTCAAAACTCAAAATTCACTTCGTCAATACGTCTTGAGGGGCATTTTCATTGAATAAACTTCGTGAATCGATCTCTGAGGATTCTATCCGCAAAAGTTCCCCTACGTGTTCTGAATGAAATCTAGGAGTGAAGACGAAGGGTACGAAAAGTCAATGTTGAGTCGCAGGAGTGGACTCATCGTTGAACAAACTTGGACGTCATCCACTCAACTTTTGCAATCGTGAACTATCCCTTACTTTTTGCTCATTTTCATTCCAAACTTCTCTTATTTTTATACCACTGGGGACACATACTAGTGGATCATAGCTTGATTTTTTTTTTTCAACGCGAGTTATCGAACACGTTTCGAAAGCCGACGAAGACTCCTCGGATATTGCTATCCTGCCAGTGGGAATACTTCTGGTGCAAAAGTTTGCATGATTTTTCACGTGTCGGAGCTCTCTCTGCACTTTCGTTTTATCATCCACTTCTTTTTTTTCCGCTCCCTTTTTCAGTAGTTTCGGGTAGGGATTTTCTTTTTTTTTTGCAATTACGGGTCTTGTGATGGAAAAAGTAGAGATAGAGATGGTGAATGGGGTGGTGGGAGGAGGGGGTCATGATCGACCACTCGTTGCTTCAGAAATAGCGTAGCTGGGTCTAATTGCGTTCGCAGTTTCCAAACTGGTAAAGTTTTTTCGGTATTTACGCAAACGATGGCATGAGACCTCGGTTGAAAATCTCGGCGATTTACTGGTTTTGCCCTTTTTATTTCTATTTTTCTTTTCATTTTCGTTGAGTTTTTGCCTTATTTCGGGACAACATCTTTCATCGTCAACCCCAAAAGAATTTTTCATTTCTTTCTGACTCCGTTAATTTTCGATTACTCCAAATGGTCTGAGTGGATTTAAAAAAATTTAATTCCATTTCCGAGTTATCCTTTGAAGGATCAAAATAAGACCGAATTCATTCCAATCGTGTCGTTTGATCTGGAGTTATACGAAACGTAATGAGTACTATTTTTCACCCTCATAACTTCAATTTACGGTGGCTGTTATTTTTTATTGATGGGAGTGCCCCGAGAGGAAATGAAAATTGAACCATCAGTTACCGTCACTGAATATCCGCTTGAAAATACTGGTGGATAATCCATTTAACCCCATTAGTTCCCAACTAACTCGAAAAATACTGACAAATAAAAAACATCAATTACAATAAAAAAATATTTACCAAATATCCGGATTGGATATGGTTATTTGTTTATTTGTCGCGTTTTCCGGCGGAAATTTCACTGGTTTTTCCCCTTCACAATATTTCAGTCCCTGTGACCACGCATCCTCTTGATACCCTCCAAATCCCCTGCATCGTAGAATTCTATATTCTCCGGTTGACTTCCCCAAATCCCCCAATTACCCTCGAAATTCCTTTCAGAACCTAGACCACAGCTATCCAACCCCTTCTACCCCTCACGTCTCACTTTCCGCCAAATTTAATTAAACAGAAGAATTTCTCAAGTGTAAAATCCCAGACTGAAAGTTTTTCATAAATATCGGGATGAAAAAAAAAATACGGTTTGTATCAGTTATAAAACTCGCGGATCCACTCCGCGATACTTCTTCTTCCACAAACTTTTATTTACAATATCTCACTCAACCCCATTCTCCATCTTAAATCCTCCCCCTTTCCCTCCTTTTAACTTTTAGAAACGAGTTTTGCCCGCGGTAACTCGGCAAGGTGCATCGAGGCGTTTGTACAATTCTCGTGGGAACACAGAATGAAGAAAGAAATAGAGTTCTAGATAAAGATAAAGAAAAAAAAAGAATACGGCGAATAAGAAAAAAAAATGAGATGAAACTAAAATCTCTTCTGAGCCAAGGAAGTAGCCATTGGTCCTTAACTCTGGCTCATTCACTCTGGCAACAAGCAGGTCTAGTTTCTCGAGGCTTTTCGTTTCTTCTAGGAGTGAGAGAGACATGCCCCATGAGTTTCGTTAAAATTTTCCCGAGTGTCTTTCCAGCCGGAAGTGCAAGCCCAGAAGCTCTGACGTAACTTCGTTCGGTGACTTGAGGGAAAGGTTGACGAAAGACAGGTCAAAGGGAGTAGTAGTAGAAGTTGTGGAAGTAAAAGTGAAGGGTACGTTTGCACTTCACTCAGACCTGACACTTGATGCTTACCCCTCTTAGAAACTAAATATGAATTTTTAAGCTATCGAAGTACTCACGTTCACGTTGTGTCTCAGCTCCTCGAGTTGACTCTCAAGTGTATCCGTTCTGTTGGTCTTCTGTCTCTCCTGTCTCTTGGTATTTGTGCTTTTGATCCACTGACCGAGGCTATTCTGTCTGGCTAGCATCTGACTACTTGGATCGTCCCTGTCGATGCTGCTGTCAGTGTGATCGACAATCTCCTCAATATCATTCTTCCTCCAATCATTGCCAGAAAATCTGGATGGTGTTACTGCTGACATGGCTATGAATGCATTTCTCGCTCTGTTACCATCTAGATTAGCTCCAGGCTTGGCGACAGGTCCAGGATTGACCTTGTGATACGAGAATTGCTTCCACTTTGGTGTCCAGGTTGACGACTGACTTGGCTTTCCATACTCAACGTTCCAATCTGTCAGCTTCCCGAGCTCCAGACTATCGCCCCAGGTTTCCTTGTCCTCCCAGCTCTTTCCCATTTTCCAGGATCTCGAGTCATCCCTCACCGGAAGACTTGTGGCTTTGCTCAGCTCGTTGCTCTCAGACTTGTCGTTATTGGATTTATCATTCTTCTCCAGCATTCTATTCTGCTTGTCAAGCCCAAGCTTTCTTACAAGCTCGGCATTGGGATTATATGACTTTCCATTTTTGTCTTTTGGCCATGGCTTGGCACCGGATAATTTGAAAGGCCAAGTCGCTGGATCCGATGTCAGGCTGTTCCACGTTTTCATCGTGAGCTTTGGCTGGATAACGCTCTTCACTGGCTCCACTGTCTTCCATGGCTTACCATTTCTCGTCAGAGCGCTCTCCTTTGATCTCGTCTTCGCTGTCTCATTGATCTCTTGATGATTTTTCAGAGGGAGAGAAGCTGGTGAATTTCTGAATATCTTACTCCGTTGCTCTGTCATCATAGCCCACGGTGTATCAACACCTCTGTCCGACCACTTGCCACCAAATTTATTGTACCTTCGATTGTCAATCTCATCGTCATCAACCTCGATTATTGGACGCAGAACTGTCCAGGGCTTTGATCGGTATCTACCAAAATTCTGTCTACTCTCGTCGTAGTAACCCTCCATCGATCTACCTGGCTCGTACCTTGAGTATCTCCATGATTTACCGAATAATCCTTGATGACGTGGATAGTCAATGTCCGGATAAGGATCATCATAATCCTCAACGATGTCATCACCGATATCCCTGATTCGGTCCATGTAATGGTGATATCGATCGTATCTGTTTGTGACCCTTGGCCTTTGATAACTACGCTCCGGAAGATCGTAATCAAGCACATGGCTGGCTGTGTTGGTTGGTAGATCGTAATTGGATGCTGAATCGTGTTGATTCAGGGGTGAGCCCTTCTCGTGGGTGTTTACTTTACCAAAGTGAAACTTTTGGGTATAGCCCATGCGTGTACCATCGTTTGGATACTTGTCGTGATGATCTGGGGATTTTGAATGGGAGTAGGTGAGTTTGGAGAGATTTGTGGGGTTTCGACGATTAGCTGACCATCCTGGGCCAAACAGACGCTCTGCTACTAATCTCCAGTGGGTCGATGGCTTTGGTGGATTGTGGGTGGTCAGGGGCGGTGGGGTTGTGGTGGTTTGGTGTCGTGGCTTCTTCTTCTTTTTTTTCTTCTTTTTCGGCTTTTTTGGTGGTGGCTTCTGGTTGGTTGGCAGGGGTGAGAGGGTGGTGAATAGGGGAAAATCCGGTGGGTAGGCGCGCTTGCGGGAGTCAAGGGCCGACAATTCTACCTCGTCCTCAGGGTCTTCTGGAAAAAATATTTACAGCAACATTTATCAAATTTTGACGATTTGTCTTCAACGATTTTATTAGCAGTGGAATAATTTGTACGTAATTTGATGGTAAATTCTATCAGTTATTGTTTGGTCTAGGGGAATGTGGAAATGTCGATATCTGAAATTTATTCGGGGGATTTTCAATGGTTGATGAGGAAAGAGATCGAGGGAGAATGGTAATGGGTAACAGCAGTGGGTCTTGGTTATGGACGGCTAATCACGACGAGCTGCCGCATAGCGGAAAGGTAATTAAGGTACAAAATGGCAGGGTGTGACTGTATAAGTACTGGAGCAAGTGACATTGCTCGGTGAATTGGTGGAACAATTGTTCGACTAATAATCTCGGGGTGCGCTGTGCTTTTCACGGTGGTGGCTGAATTTCTGGGTAACCATTCTATCCTCTGGTTCCCTTTAAACTCGTGCGTTGGCCACCCACAACTATCAATTTCCATAGTTACTCGGTATGGTATGAGAATCGAGGGTTGTTAAGGCTTTGACGTTGATCCGCTGGTACTGTGTTTACTACTAGTTGGATTATTCCGTTCTGGGTAGAGTACGTTAATGCAATTTCATGAATTATATCGTCTATGTGGTGTATTCAATGGAGAGAAATAGAAATTTGCGGGGAGTTTATGTACGAGTAATTCCATTGCGATGGTAATTTGAGAATATGTGGTGGAGTTTAATGAGCAGGTGCATTATTTAAACTGGAGGTTGTTAAAAATATTTTGTGGGGCTGTATATTATTTTATGATTCGGGAATTATCAACAGCTTGTTAAGGATTAGATTGTCGGGGTAATGGGGGATTCTGGTGAAAATTTAATTGATGATTTTTTGGTGGAAATTTTCGGGGCTTGGAGAATGGTTCTGGCATAATTTGTTGTAGAATTACTCGTTAACGAGGTAATTAGCTAAACTTCAGGTGGTACTTCTTCGTCGTTTCAGTCTGAAATAACTTGGGACTTTATGGGGCTGTATCTAATTTAATGATTCAGCGATAATTTACAGCTCGTTAAATTCCAGATTATCGTGACAATGAGTTGATTTAGGGTGAGAAGTGACGAATGATTTTTTATTTGAAATATCAGGGGCTTTAATAAAGGTCCTCTTAAATTTCAACGTAGGATTCCTCATTACTGAGATAATTGGCAAAAAGACTGGCGGTATTTTCAGGTGGTTTGAGTTTGGAATTGTTTGGAGTTTTAAATAGTTTTTCCTCCGTCGGTGAATTGCTGGAGATTAGCTTTTGAATTTATACGGTTGGAGTTATTCCCGGAATTCAAACAGTATAAACAAACCCCTCGGGACAGGGTTAATCAATAATATTCACCGTTATATTCCGGTTACTCACTCATAGTCAGGAGTCTGTGAGCTCGTTCCCAACGCTCTGGATTCTTAGCTAGTCTCACCAACAGCTTCATCAAGCTCTCGGCTTGCACCCACTCCTCTCCCTGGTCAACAGAGCAAGGAAATATATTTCAGTCAAACAAGTATCTAACAGTAGTGTATCCAAATACGATGGATAAGTGAAGTTGAAATAGAGAGGGTAGAGTGGTCGTGGTGAGGGTCTTGAACTGTACACACATCACATCGTTCACGAGGAGATTGAGTTTCTCGGGCAAAACTTGGACAATATAAGCCAGGACCTGGTGCACGTCGTCTCGATCAGGGTCGACAGAAGGGACTGAACGTGCTCGCGTTAACGATGACAAATGAGAGGGATACTCTTCAGGGATAACAAAGGTCGATAAGGATTACAGGGGTTGGGAGCATTTAAAAATTATGAATTTTTCCATTTTTTTAAATTAGAATAGCGAAAAATAGATTTCAACAAAAGTTACACTCATTTTTTTCAAAAATAAAATAACTATTCTTCAATATCAGAGACAAATTACAGAGAGTCACATCAATCATTCATTTTTTGATTAATATTGAAATTGAGAGGGCCGTTATTCAATAAATGATTGACTAACGGCTGCCATAAAGAAAAAACCTCGGAAAAAAATAGAAGTGTGAATCAGCATTCGTTTTTCCTAATTCAACAGCGTGTGAGAATTAATCGATAAGATCGTGAGATTCGACAGGGACTGATGGATTACACTCGCTCAATAGTTCCCCGATAAATTCCCCTGAAAAAAAAATAAAAAAGGGCAGAAAATAGGTGCATGAAGGGCTCTCTGCAAAACCGGTCATTCTCTGGAGTCTGGCAGTTTCGACAGGTGACGGATCGATTGCCCAACGACACTGGGACGTTTTATTTTCATTTTCCTCTCTATCCCTTTGTTTTACTTTTTTTTTTATTTCTGGCCAGTTTTATGGCATGATTTCCCGTGAGATATTTATCGCTGGAATGAACCTCGGGGAGTTAATATCGGTTGATGCTGAGGTTTAAATGTTTTCCTGTGATCTAGATATAGTGGGTCAGAGGGGAGATGGAAAATCCAGTGACATAGAAGACATTTCGGCAGCTCGCCAGGAAATTGACTCGTGAATGGTTGGAAAGGGGAGGCAAATCCTCTTTGATACCTCCTACTTTGTCACGTGAACGAGGCGATTCACTTTTTGATGATGGAGTGCAATGGATATGGCTGTGATAAATATTTCGGGTCGTATTTTGTCCTGATATATTTTAGGGGAATCGATTGGGGACAAGAGTTGAATATAGAGCTTGAAGGCATCTCTAAATATTGGAACCTTATCTTCATCTGTGAATGAAAAGGGATCAGTTATTTCTTCTTAAGGAAAAGAATTCCCAACGGTGAAGGTTTTTTTTCATCATTTCCTCTGATCCACATGGAATTCTCATTCAAAATATCTTCTTACTCCTGTCATTTCATTCGAGTCTGAAATCACCAGGACGTGAAACGCTGAATTGGTCTGGTTCAATCTCGATTTATACGAGATGGAGAAGTTTCGGAAATACGTAAGAAAAAAAAGAGAATGAGGAAAAGAGAATGAGGTGGATTGGGATGTTGGATTTGTTGCTTCGATGTGGCCCCAATGCCTGGAAATCGACTTGGAAGGAGCGTTTGTCAATATTTTCAGATGTTCCTCCATGAGAAAGGGAGTAAAAGATTAAATAATCCCAGAATGTCTGGACACTGGGTTGTGATGGTCATGTGAAGCTGAACATCTCAAATCCTCTTTCCCTTTTTCTCTTTACCTCGGTATTGAGTTGAAATCAATTTGTCACGTGGCATGGTTGATAAGTGTCTTACCAAATTGTTGTCAATCATCTCTCGTGTTCTAGCTGCTGAATATTCTACACTTCTCTCTGCCAATCTTCCGACAATTTCCGGTACTTCAACAGTCGTCCCGTTGCTCAGCAACTCCTTCTGACTGCTGAGCTCCTTCTTAACCGTTGGCACACGTTTTGATTTTCCATCGGTTGTTCGTTTGAACTTGAACATTCAAAAATAAACAAAAAATTCATTATTATTTCGTTTTAGAATTGACAATTCTTTCAATAATTTTAATCAACTCGGAAAGATCAATGGTATTGAAAATTGAGGAGAAAGCTCCAGTAGATTTATCTATTTTATATAAAATACTTGAATAATTTTGAATGACGAGTGATAAAAAGTAGAGGGAAGTGGTGAATTTTCCACAACTTGAATTTCTTCAATATCTTCGATATCTTCCAATTCTCAGCGATGAAAATCAGGTAGAGAAATGTAATAGACTCACTTGAATGCTCTTATCCCTCTCGGTTTCATCGCTTATAGCCTCGTTTGACGTCATACTCTCGTCAGATGAATCCACCTCGACACTTTTCTCGTGTGAATCAAAATTCCTGGTGGCTCTCGTCTCATCATCACCGACATTTCCCTCGGAGTGATTCACACCAGACGTTGAATTGCCACGATCGTCCCTGGACATTGCCTCGTGTGACTCTGCAACCTCACGTAATTCCTCCTCATACTCGTCCACATCCTCAATATCCTCAGTCTCATCCTCGTCCTCCTCATCGTACTCAGCATCATCAACGGTCGTCTCTGTCGTCACATCCTGAAGCCATTTATTCCGACCTTTTTATATCCCACTCTTCACCCTCTTGAAGTCTTTATCTTTTTTACTTCTTTTGGTACGTGGATTGTACAATATATTTTTTTAGTCTCTTATCTTATATTGTTATCTTGACGGTGGAAGTCCTCATGAATACTCACCGAGACTGGACTTTCCAACTCCTCAGATGATTCTTTACTGTTGCTCTCTTCAACACCTGAAATGAGAGAGAAATTAATTCATTAGAAATATTTGAGTAATTTTGGAGATATTTTTCAGTCATTTTCCGTTGGAGATCTCCTCTTATTTTTTATTTAATTCGCGTCTGATGAAGTTTGGTTGAGGTGATTCAATTAGACAATTTTGTTTTCGATAGATATCTGCGGATCTAGGGGAGATATCCATATTTTTCGTAAGAGCTTTTTTATAGAATGGGGTGAGAGCTATAATAAAGGTTCCAATACAAATTTTGATGTCTCTTATAGATTCCGAGATTTTCTCTATTTTTTATTTATAAAAATTAATTCCATTAATTAAAAAATACTGTGAATTCCTGTGAGAAGAATCTAGGGAATCTGGAATTGACTTGGATATTAAATTTTCCGTAGTTCTATCAATTTTCATTTGAATTTCACTTTTAATGGAATTTTTTATGAAAATTCACTGAAATTTTATACCGAAATTAGCCTTTTAAAAAATGATAACAGCGTGGAGTACTTTTAATGAATTTTCCAACCCGGAATTCAATTATTCATTATTAAAATGACCCAGAAAATCTCATTACAAACTGGTTTAAAGTGCTGAAAGAGGTGGAGAGATGATAGAGAGTACAAAGATGAGATGAGATGTTACATAAGGCCATTCAAAGCACTAATGAAAATGAGAGATAATGAAGCAGATGGCTAATGGTGCCTCTTGGAGTGTACATCCGTGCCCATGAGTAAAGCCCACTTTATTTCAACTTATGCTACTTGTACCGAGTAACTGTATAAAGTATACGTTATGTGTTAGCAATGTACTCTCGTGTACGGAGTTCAGTGTCTATTGAGAGCTATCGGACTCAGTGTCAGATCCAAGTGCTTGGATTTTCTTTGTACTTTTTCTTTTTTTTTTTCCTCATACTTTGGTGTAATAACATCCAATATTTTCCTAGCCACTTCGCACGTTTTCGCCTCCTGGCAACTGCATCCCCAAACATTTTCTCCGGTTTATTGGTATTACTGTCAAGGATTTATTGATTTTTATTTGATAGAATCCTGGAAATAACTTTTTCTCTTTAAAATTCTTTTATTTCCAATTTCATGAATCGAAAAAATATCAAAAAAAGTTGACATTTACGTGTCGTAAATCAATTTTACCATAAAATTTTGATGAAATTTACTTTTCTTTTTTTTCGGGGAAGTCTTTTTTATGACGCGTATAGCCAGAGAAATGGGATATTCGAATCAAATGGAAATGTCAAAGAAATATTCATAACAAATTTGTTTATTTCATACAATAAAAATAACTACTCTCCGTGGAATAAAATATCGAATAAAAATATTCCATTCCATTTGAATAAATTCAATTATTTCATTATAAAATAGATCATTTTTTCGGGGTGTGAAGGTGTAGGAGCAAATAGTCAGTGCAATTTTCCGCATTATTCCGAATTCTCGTGTCCTAATTCTTTTAATGCCCAACGTCATTACAACATATGCCGCACCCAGTGAGTCTTTTTTTTAAAAACATTTTTTCCTCTCATCCTCGGTGGATTCATCTCTTTTTATTCAGTTTTTTTAGCCCTTGGCGAAATAGCGAGAGCGAAGTTAGTTGAAAAGTTCTGTGTCTTTTTTTTTTCCTTCGCCGCACATTTTCTCGGAGGTAAGGGGGTAACACGTGCGCTCAATGAATATTCGGGTGTGCGCCTCGGTACCAGTAATGCCTGCGTAGAAGGCTTTAATTAACCCCCGTAATTTAACCGAAAATTGCGAGGGAGATGGAAGGCATTTGGGTTGGGGTATGAACAGTATATCTGCGGGCGCATAAATACCGTAAAAAGGAGTGCCACGGTAATTATTTATGCGGATAGAGTTGAATTCAATTTAATAGCAACAGGTGTATGAGGAAAATAATTTACCAAGCGCTTTTTCAACTACTGAATTTTTCATCCGTCAATATTTTTTCCATTTGATTCGGCAAAGTCGCTGTCGATTGGCAAATGATAATTTTTATTGAATGAATAATTATTTTCTTCTAAAAGAACAATTGAAAAATTTTGGGGATTTATTTTTCAACGGAAGTTATTAATTGTATCAGTTGAATCCGGAAAGATCGAGGGACTCGGTAAATTATTGTCCTCCAATATTTATCGTTACTCTAAAAACGTTAATCGAACATCGATAAATTGCAATATTTCGCTATGACATTTTTCAAAACCAAGAGAATGAGAAAAAAATTCAGTGAAACGTACACCCACGTTCTACGTGCATATCACAAGGAACAACAACAAAAAAAAGTTTAAAACGCAGAAGTAGAAAATGCACACATGGGGGAATATACGAGGGAAGGTATAAAATCCCCGGGAGCGTGAACGAAAGAGAGAGAGAGAGAGAGAGAGAGAGAGAGAGAGAGAGAGTAGAATTGAAAAAAAAAGCGGAAAAAAGGAAAAAAAAATGAGAAGGAAGGGGTGGAGGGAGGAGGGGTGGGGAATAGATGGCCCTCAGTAAAAAAAGAATTTCCAAATAATGCTCAGGCGTTGCTTTTGCCACTTCACCATTTTTCCTGTTCATTCTCTCCTGCTTTTTTTTGTCCAGTGTTTTTTTCCTTTTTTTTATGTTTTTATATTTTTTGAGACGTGAAATGAGTGGACGCGCTACAGAGGTACGTTTACATCGCACGTGATCGGTGTTTAGAGTGTATTGAACGGTAGCCAAGGGGGAAATGGGGGAGGGATGGGTGGAAACAAGGTGAGAGGGTGGGACTTATATCGAGCCCGAATATTGGACGTAATGCATCGACGCTGCAGTTTGCCAATATTTCATCCGACAGCGGTTATCCCCTTTCTCTCTCTCAAATTCTCTTCCACTCGGCTTTGTCCCTCTTTTTGTCAACAAAACCTGGAGTGTCCAAACATACACACTCGGCAAAACCACATCCGAGCACGTGCAAATATATACACCAGAGTTTTTCAACATTTATCTCGGAGGGAAATAAAACTGAAAGCCTACTGAAAATTTGAAAATGCAGGAATCAGTCAAATACTCGTTTTGCGCTGGAATATATTAATATTTTAGAAGTCCAGTTAAAATGGAGAAGAAGAGGGAAAATGTCGAGAAAATCCGCAGAAATATTGCAATTTTTCATTGACTCATTGCGTTTTTCATGAACGTGAGAGCAAATTTTATTTGAAATTTTTATCAGCTGATAGGCTTTTGTTGAATATCTCTGAATCTAAAAGAAATATCATTTTTTTTTGTAATAGCTTTTTTATAACTCTCATTTCCCTCAGCAAAAGAGGTTCTATGAAAAATTCTGATATCTCTTATAGATTCAGAGATATCTGTCGAGAACTCGACTGGGAAAAGCATCGACTTGTTTTCTTCTTGAAAAATTTCTCTTCAATTCATCTCCTGGGAATTGCGAGAATAAAAATTAACTTTTTCGTAATTTATTTCATTTTTTATTAATACATTCTGGTTTTTAATTGTTCAATCATTAATTGAACGGTGGAAACTGTTAATTTCCTCTTGTATTTTCCAAGTTTTCCGAAAATGTAAAATGGAGAATTTATTTTCTCAGGTTTTACGCCAGGAAATCCTCGATTTTTTTACATTTTCAACTACACTCTCTCGATTTTATTTCCTCTGTTCTCTCTGCAATCGCCTGGAGCGTGAATTTTTGCTGTTGAGTTTCCGCTGGTGGTACCTAATAAACCGGAAACCACGGCTATCGCCATTTCCACAGCAAATATTACGTGAGTTGAAATACCAAAAGTCCGTGAACGGAATTTCTCCCATTCATTTCTTTTTGCAATTTATTGATGAAAAATATTCTGAATGGTGTTCAAAATCGATGGAATTATTCTTCAAATAATCACCGAGAGCTCTCGAAAACATCCGACAAATTTAACGAGTGAATAAAAAAAAACCGTCGCTATTGCAATGGAAGAGAAATTAATTGCCCGGATTTTTTATAATTGCAACGTCAAAAGCAGATAAAATCCTTTGCTGGTGGCACGTTGACTTTTTTTAGGCTAGATTAACGCCTGGAAATTCTGAATTTAAATACTCGATCTGTAGTTCACTCGATTATGGTTCAACAAGTGCTGAAGCCACAATCAGATACAAATGTACTCGATACTGCGGAAATATCTGTGTTATTCCCACTGGCTGTTTCCACTCTCGAATTCTGGGGTGACAGCTAGTGACACCAGTAACCGACAAGTCAGACGTGAGAGACTTGAAAAGCCCAGGGAGAATTTATCGGAAAAGCGGAAAAATCAATGTGTCCATTGTTATTTGTTAATTATCGGTGAATCCACTCTATTTCTTCCTATTTTTTCATGGCTCCACCTAAAATTCATAGATTTTTTCTAAAATTTCCAACGACTTGTGGGAATTTTTCGGAAAATTCCCTCTCTTAATATTTGTAAAAAGTTTTTTCTCGTTTTCTCTTATCAGTGGATTGAATAATGCGTAAATAGTTTTTGGGAGTATTGAAAGTTCATTGGGAAATGTAGAAACTTTTTTTTTTTTGGGAAATGGATGAGTTGGTGGTGTCAGCCGACAATTCACCGACTAATTGCCGGCATTGCGCTGTCAAATTGTTCTGCCTTCATAGCCCCACGTCAAACACAATTCCATACTTGACATCGTGGAACGTGTTGGTCAAATTTATACACTTGGATGTACTCGTGGGATTAACATTGAATCCAGTAACCGACAAAATGGCATCTAGTTTGAACAACGATAAATGGCCGGTTGTCACTTGTCGTGTATTCCAAACTCTTCCACTTCAGCTTCTGCTCTTTATTCCTTTCTCATACCATTGGCTTTGCCGGTATTTCGGATATAGTCGTACGTAGCTACTTATCCGATAGATGCTATTTGCATACAAATTGTACTGATAAAATCCCTTCACTCGGGATATTTAACTCTCGGGAGCAGTTGCTGGGGAATTTAAAACCGGAAGGACTCGAATCGTTTGGACACGTTGTTGAAGAACTTTTTAAATTACAGTTTCTGTTCGATTTTTATTGACAATCTCTGAATTTCTCATTTTTCTCGTTTGTCGGGGAAATTTTTGGAAAATTCGGGCTTTCAATAAATTGATAGTTCAAGGAAATTCGGAAAATTTTCGAAGTTTTCATGGTTTCGAAAATTATGGAAATTACCAGATTTTTTTTCATAATTTTCCAACAATTTTTACGAATATAATTTTTTCTGACTTTTTTGATTTTTCAATATTCTCAAAAAATACGCCATCTAAATTATCGAAAAAAAATTCCTATTCAAATTTTGGAAAAATTTTTCAAAACCTTTCCGAAAAATAAAATCGTTTAGTTGTCCGATTTTTTTTTGTTTCATAAAAAAAAAATTCTGAAAAGTTTTCCAGAAATTTTTTGAAAATTTGGAAAAAATATTCCGATTACAATTTTTTTTTACCCGGGATCATAAATTAATTAACAGGTCTTAATTGATAGTTCAGGATAAAAATTCCACCCCTAATAAATTTTCAATTGATATCAGTTTTGACAAGGCAAAATGCATTTTTTTTCAATATTAACCGCGAAAAAGAGCTTGTTATTTCAAATGACGGGTGAAATAGCCCGGGGAATAGAAAACTTTTGGAATAAAAATGATAAGTGACTGGTCATTTGTTCTGATAACACTGATCACCAAAACAAGATACGTGCTTGGTATCCAGTGAAACCATTATAATGGTTTGTTGGTGGATGAACACACGCTCTTGCAAACCCTGTGCATTCAGTTTCACTCAACATCCCGCAGTTTCATTCTCTCCTCTCACTTGGGTTGAGCTCGAATACATAGAATTTAGTACATACCATTGGACAGAGACAGCGGAATGTTATTCACCAAAATGGAAAAGCCTTTGGGTCCCTACGAATACTGTGGACGAGTAAATATTGTGCCGAATTGGACGATTGGAATCGTGTACACTCATTAACAGATCAATATTGGAAAAAAAAAAAAGAAATGAATGGAAAAAGGGGAGATAAAGCGGTGGCGAGTCAATAAATAACGGATGACGTAAAAATCGGATAATGTTCAATCTGAGGGCTCAATTTATCGGCCGAAATTTTCCAATTTTCCAATTTCGTCGGTTTTCGAAAATTTTTGTCTTTTGGGGGTCCATTAAAATTTTAATTCAATTTATTATATTATTTATGCACACATTCATTATTATATATTATTATTTCGCGGATTTCTCACAGAATTTTGAATTTATAATATCTTCTTGAGAAATTATAGAAATGGAATAATCATTGATGATTTGAAATCATTTGGTTGTTTCTATTGTTAATGAGAATTTAATCTCGAATGTAAATTACGCGTTAAGTGGTGCAATTTTAAAATGAAAATTCTTTAAACTTTGATCATTATATTTTACGACGCTAAAGACCCGGGTGACGCTGTAATTCTCAGAACAGCAATGTGTAGAGTGTAAAGATGTCTTTGAGGGGGTAGTTGTGTTGTGGAATACATGGGGGAGGGATATTTTCTCAACCCCCTCGGCTGAGAGTTATTTCAGAAGCTCCAGGGGCTTGAATTATCGGTTGTTGAGCTTCATCCAGAGTCGGATGAAAGTGAGATCTTGTATAATGGGGGAATTCGCGAGTTCTCCCATCGCCCATTCTCAATTCAAAATCAACCCACCCTTCTGCCACCCCCCTCTCTTGCCCCTTTCATGGAGCGATGATGCCTTTGTGCGGAAATCATGAACAATACCAGGCAATTGGGAAAATTGTGACAATGAAAATTTTTAATGGAATTTTCCAGGAATTTTTCTCTCCCACGCGTTGGGAAAAATCTGAAGTGAAATTCTTGCGATGGAAATTTTTATGTTTCGGGATTCCCCTGGGATTTGAGATTTTATTGTGAATTCAATGGAATTTGATAGTGAATAATGATATTTGATTGAAAATTTGAATAAATAATGGAATTCTCGATAGCGTCCTCTCGATTTTTTAATCGATTCATCGCTTTGTTAGGTTTTTCAGGAATATCTCCGGAATTAATGAGAATTATGAAATTTATGTTATTACCTTTTTTGGAGCTCTCCACCAGATCTATTAAAAACGTTTTGACATAATTTTTGGTATTACGCATCATTTCCCAGATATTTATAAAAACTCTGAGTATAAAAACCACAAATTGACGCAAGTGATATAAACAATTTATTTTTATGGCAGCATAAGCATAAAAATTCATAAAATGTATAATCTATATACTTTTGAGAATATGGAAAAATGATCCATATTTATTTTTCTTTTTCCCTGGAATTTTCCGTGCACCGGATTTAGCTTCAATGTTGAAACCCCAATTTTTTCTATTTTATTTTCGATAAAAATAGTATCGGTGACTATAAATAGGGTTGACTACAGTTTAATGCCTCGAACATGCCCGGGAATATCCCCCGTAGGCTCATAAAAATGGAAATACTTTTTCCACCGTGTGATTTTGGTTTCATTTATTTTTTTTTGTCATCCACGTCGTTTATGAGAACATGCATCTGCGGGAAAATTAATTGATCGCTAAATCTCGTGAGTAATAAACGTGACGAAATTAACAATTAGACTACATCAAATGATTTATGAGTTTGTAAAATTTTTTAATCAGATGAATCTTGGTACTATATGAGTGCATGTGATATAATTAAATTCTAGCCTCGACAAATGAATTCTCTCATTGAATCTTGTCGGCCTCGGGCAATTCCTCAATTTTAATAAAGCCTCTTCATAAACCCATTCACCAAAATACTTTCCCCGAATACTCGGAATATTTCTCACGAGTGGGAGGAAAAATCCCGGAAAATTCCGTCAGCCCACGCACTAGACTCACAAAAGAGGGGCGAAAAAAATTGGCGTAATAAAAAAAAATGTAATAAAAGAGGAGAAAAGAAAAAGAGGATATGTCAGAGAGGAGTTGCCGTCGGGCAATATTGCTTCACACCACGTCTTTTTTTTTTTCCCTCTTGAGTTGAACTGAAAAGAAAACCAGCAGACGTTATACACCTCAAGAAGAAAATGCCTCCCTTTGCCACCCACATACCGCCATTCCTGTATTTCCCTTTGGTTGGAAAAACTCTTGTGCTCATTCACCTATCACTTTTTCTCGTCATTTCCCGGTGGTAGGAGAATATAAGGCACTGAGGAATCAAAAGCGTTTGGTTTTTCCTGAATTGCAGGTGATCTCAACCATTTCCACACACTTCATCTACCGACTCGTCAATTTTTCTTTATTTCTATCTCAATGGAAAAATCGAAGTTGAAATTTTTCAACACCTGAAATTTTCTCCCGGTTTTATATGGATTGTCTCTTGTCGTATTTTGATTGGTTTGTCGGGTTTTACGCGTGGAAATGTTTCTGGTTATTTTTCCATTGTTTTCAGTATTCAATTTGATAATTTTATTTTGTGGGAAATATTGGGAAATGTTGGGATATCTTGAAATTCTGAATATCGATTTTTTTTTTTTCGAGATTTATTTATAGTTTATGGAGAAAATATATGTGGGAAATGCAGTTAGTTAATTAAAAAATTGTGTTTGTATGAAGATTGTAATTTGTTTATTATTTTGTTTCCAGACAATCATGGATTCGGCGATCATCAATCATGGATTCGGCGATCATCAATCATGGATCCGGCGATCATCGAGCGGCACAGAAATATCATCGACATCACCGGTAAGTCAACAATATTTTAATTAGCCTATATTTTAATTATTATAATTAATTCAATTATAATAATTCCCTGTAATTATCTACAAACATTCCCCTCTATTTATTTATCAACTTCCGTTCTACCCCTTAAATAATGAAATCACTAACTTAAATTGCGCTGAAAAACTCGTAAAAAATCGTGGATAAATTCTGAATTGGAAAAAAAAATCTATTGTGACTCGATTTTTTTGGGGCGATTCGCGAACAAAAAAAAGAATTGAAAAAAAAAAGTGGTGCAAGCACTTGAGAAAATAGAAAATGGAGAAGAAAACCCGATGCCTTCGTTCACCTAAATTCTGGGATAATGGGAAAATGTTAAGAGTACCGAGAGCATTTGCTCGTTGGAGAATTCCAAGGCGTATAATGACGTCTACGACGAAGGGGAAATGGGTATAAAAGGAGAGCTGTAACAATGGTAATAAACACGGGTACAAAGGAAATGAGAAATAACGGAATGAAAGAAACACGAGAGGATATAAATAGAAGGAGACTCTTGAAATAAGGGGCCGATGGGGGTGGAGTGGGTGTGACAGGCTATTAAATTGTTCCTTGGATTATTCTAATATTTTGTGGTGAAGGTACGGGGCCAATCTCGAGGGTACCTTGTGGGTAAAGACGGAATTTAATCTAGGGTTTCGGTGTCCGAAGCATTCACGCGATGAGAAAAGGAATGGCTGAGGAAGTGCTTCCTCAGCATCCAACGGATTGTCCAGAGTACTTCGGTTTTATCGTCCATGAACAACATTGTCCAATACTTGGGGAACATCTCGAGCGTTTACTGGTGGGGTATTAAATTATTTAGTTGTTGAATTCACTGGAACTCGATTACTGCAGATTTTACTGGGAAAATTGTTTCAATCACAATCTCGTTTCGACGGTCTGTGTTTTCTATTGTCTGAGATTCAAGTCAACTTTAAGTTAAAATTTCTAGTCAATTTATGTCGTTCGTCTGTTGGAAATTCAAGAATTTTCCGATTGAATTTTCCTTCATTTGAGGAAAATGGAAAATTCTCTGCTTTTTTCGTTTCAAAAGATATTTGGATAGGAGTTATTTTTTTTTTATGAGATATATTGAAAATATGTATATCAATGGGATATTATATATTTTTCAATAACGCATGGAAAATGTTTAAACAATTCAAGGTTCAGGTAGAATTCAAGGAAATTCGTGGGGTTTCAGGGAATTCTAAGATTTTTAATTTTTTTTTGAAATTTTCCCGACTCTCCATTATTTTCCCGGAATAATTGAATTGAAAAATCGAGTCTCATTCATCTTTAAATACTCCACTATAAAAACAATAGAAATTTTCCTTTCCCATCGACAAAAGCCTTTCACCTATCATTCAATAACATTCAATAACTTTTCAACCAATTGTTTAAATTTTCACCCAAAAATCTCATACCAATTTTTTAAATTCATTCATCAATTCGTTTATCATGCCGCAGAGGCAATAGCGGCAGTCAATTACCGCTACACGCATCAACAAAAATAATAACTATTAAGCAGGATCACACGAGAGTTAACGCTCCCCCCTTTAACCACCCCCAATTCATCCCTGAATTAACAAACTGAAACTCGGTAGCAGTGCCGAGTCGCTGGGCACATTAATTTCGAGATAAATCCCAGCACCGAGTTTGTGTGTACTCGCGAGGGGGTAGGAGGGTGGGGGATTTAGGGTGGTTAGGGGGTGGTAGGTGGTTTTGAGAGGGTGGAAGAGTGAAGGAGTGATAGAAGAGAACAAAAGAGGAGTAGAAGATAGTGAGAGAGGAGTTGAAGGGGCTGAAATGGGGTGAATGGGTGGTTTGAAGGGGTGGAAAGGGGGTGGGAAAGTTATCCAAGCGTGGGAGAGTTGGTTGTGCTCCGTTGGGCGTCTTATCGCCGCTGAGTATGGCAGGCAAATTGGGAGTAACGATGGACGAATGTGAAGGGTGTACGGTGAGAGGGGGTGAAAGAGGGTGGAGAAGGGTGAAAAGGGGAGGAATGGAGAGGAGGGTTTGAATATAGGCACGTGAAAGAGATATTGTGAAATAAATATGAATGCGAGGGGGTAAGTTCACGTGTAAAGGTGAATTAGAATGAAAGAAAATGAGGGGTGTATTGACCGTGGGGGGATGTGAAAGGGCAAGGTTCGCGGCCATGAACTACCAGTGATGGGTGAGTTTTCTTGGAACACTCTGCTATCAGGGATTGAAGAAAAATTAATTTTTCTTTGCGCAACTTCTTTCTCTCTGGATTTTTATCAATTTTTTAATAATTCTCGATTGATTTATCGATTATTGATGGATATCGATATAAAGTATTGAGTTCAGTGTACCCTTGAGTAATTGTGTTATTTATAAATAAAATAATTGGATAATCCGGAATTATTATAGCGATGAAATTGATGGAAAAAACACGGAATTTATTTCCTTGGAGGAAATAAAATCTAGAGAGAGAGGGAGGATAAAGGAATTTTTCGTTAGCCCAAGAGATTGATTCTTTTATGTCTTCGTAATAAAAAGAACGCGTTGTCTTGGGAAAAACAGTTTATGAGAATATTTATAGCGAAATTTATTGCGTCATTCCGGGTAAATCCGGATAAACATAAAACAATAAAAATTGCTTGATATCTTGATTAATTGCTCTACTGACATCTACTCGCGATTTTTAAAGTAAATAAAATTGGTGGGGTGTACCAGTGTGTTACGAGTGAAGTTAGTAAGTTTAATTCGATTAATAATCGGTGGGTGAACGAGTGTAATTGAATGGTATACCGCAGAGTTGGGAGGGGCTCGATAATATAATCGAGGTAAATGGAAAATCCTCCGTGAGCAGATTATGTCGCAATAATTAAACGGACGTTTTGCCCTTTGGAGATTGCGATTAATCTATCCCTTTGACTTTTTTTCCATTTTCTTTTTAATACCGAAAATACTTCACGGTCACGATATTATACTCGTAATTCCATTTCGGTCTTATGGATTATCAATGATTTAATATATTTATGTAAAAATTGATTATTAGTTTTATGGGAATTGAACTGATTTTTATATATTTATTTAAATGCATATTTAAATAAATGTGCAGTTTTTTTTCTGTACAATTATGATCGAAAATTTTTTAAAAGTTCAATTACAACTTCTGGATAAATAAAATTACTAAACAATTCCTCCGATTTAAATAAAAAAATGATTGCTCGTTTAAAACCCAAATTTCATATAATAAATAAATCTTTTTTAGGCGATAAAAAAATAGATATTCCATTGAAACGACAAAATTTCAGCGGTAACGCGTAATGAGATAATAGTAACAATTTCTATGTAATAAATGCACTTGAAATGACCATTAGAGATCTGA